CTATTACGGCTAATAATGCAAGACTCTTCGGTAAATCGAATCCAGTTCTCTCAGTCACATGATAACGATCGTTGTATGAGTCGTACGATTTTTGAATCAAGGACGGGCCTTGCCAGGCCATGCTGCTAGTCTAAAAATAAATACGCTTAAATTCACATCCGTCGCTTTCGTGCACCAACGGCTTAGTGGTAGAATCCCCGACTGACGCCAATTCAGTCGGGTTTCGATCCTAGCTTGAGACAGCCGGGCGTCTAGCCATACTGATGACCTGTGATACACCGAAACAGTCTGTCTGTGGATGACAATATATATATATATATATATGTCTGTGGATGAATATATATATGTTGTACTCTCCCGTCGTTTTTTTTTTTGACGTATGAGGTTCAAGTAACACAGTTCCTAGGAACCGACGGCAAGACCCCCTCCCCCAAGATACCCCCACATATGATTGATTACAGTGTGCAGAACCAACCACACTTTTCGCAGGGCCCAATGCAGAGACCTGGTGAACCACGTGCCACAAAGCCCCCAAACGATCCTCCGCAGGTTTTGAATTCAGTTGTCTTTCTCCTAGACCAGTTGCCATACAAGGCTATAACACATAGTCTCTATTTATCCATAGCTGGGGAGAGGAGAAGAGGATTCATTCCTTTCCAAAGTGTATTAACACGTAAGTGAATGTAATGGATTCGACTAGAATTCGAACTCGGCTCTCCGATTCCTCAGCACGCACACACATACACACAATTATACACACACACACACACACACACACACACACACACACACACACATATATATATATATATATATATATATATATATATATATATATATATATATATATAATATTTAAAATAGAAAAACAAATTAAATTAGTAATTTGGTCATCTTGTTGTCATCAGTTGGGCGACTGGGGCCAAACTCGTATCAATTGCCAAGACTTCAAGAATCTCACGGACTTAGTCATTCTGCAAATTGCATTAACTTGCAAATTATCACCAATAAGTATGTACTATCGCTCACTGGTGTAGATTTTCTTTTTCTCGAAATGTGTTATCAGGGCAAGGTGTTACAAGACGTTATCTTTAGCTGATGAAATCTTGTTCGAATATATTCGCCTGCTGTTGCGGGTAATGTTACATGATGTCGGTGGGGGTTTCAAGAAACGGCTGTTGGTGGTGGGGGGGTTCGGAGCCACAGACAGAAAGACACATCGTTGAAATCGGCATATATGTATCATGGGTGCGGTCAGCTATCCTTATATGAGATGGAAAAAAGATACTAGTCATTTACTTTGTATGGGTTTTCAAAATACCAGAGTCGCCTCGGGTTATATATATATATACACACACACACACACACACACACACACACACACACACACACACACACACACACACACATATATATATATATATATATATATATATATATATATATATATATATACATGTATGCATATAGATATATATATAGAGAGATAGATAATATATATATATATATATGTGTGTGTGTGTGTGTGTGTATATATATATATATATATATATATATATATAGATAGATAGATAGATAGATAATATTAGTTTTTCCAATATATATATATATATATATATATATATATATATATATATATATATATATATATATATATTCCCAAGAGGAGAGAATCCAGGCAAAACTCAATGTCCAGGACAGAATACAATATAAAATGCTCAAACACTAATATTCTATGGTTATAATTTATTACATTGGGATCGTAATCACGATCCAATTCACCTTATTATATTTTCTATCTATGTGTGTGTGTGTGTGCGTGCTTGCGCGCGTGTGTGCTTGTGTGTGTGCGTGCGTGTGTGCTTGTGTGTGTGCGTGCGTGTGTGCTTGTGTGTGTGCGCGCGTGTGTGTTTGTGTGTGTGCGTGCGTGTGTGCTTGTGTGTGTGCGTGCGTGTGTGCTTGTGTGTGTGCGTGTGTGTGCTTGTGTGTGTGCGTGCGTGTGTGCTTGTGTGTGTGCGCGCGTGTGTGCTTGTGTGTGTGCGTGCGTGTGTGCTTGTGTGTGTCTGTGGGCTTTCGAAACTACAAGAAGCGATCTGGAGAAATATTTACAGTTAACATCAGGAAATACCTAATGACGTCCCATATTATGAAATGGACAATGTCCGACAATTATTTTAAGACATTTTTATGTTTATATGTCCTTTTTATAGATACAAATATTTAAGTATATGCTCTATATGATTGATTACAGTGTGCAGAACCAACCACACTTTTCGCAGGGCCCAATGCAGAGATCTGGTGAACCACGGGCTACAAAGCCCCCAAACGATCATCCTCAGGTTTTGAATTCAGTTGTCCTTCTCCTAGACCAGTTGCCATACAAGGCTATAACACACAGTCTCTATTTATCCATAGCTGAGGAGAGGAGAAGAGGATTCATTGCTTTCCAAAGTGTATTAACACGTGAGTGAATGTAATGGATTCGACTAGAATTCAAGTC